GTTTTCAAATAACTTTTCATTTTTTTTTTTTTTTTTTACAAGTTAGGGCCAGATGCACACAGCGAACGTGTTTTAAGAAATAGCCTGACAATTCTAAGTTAGCCAAGGGATAATTCGTTCTCAAATTAGACCTTTTTTTCCCAACTGTCTTAAATAAGAAAATAAAAAAATTAATAAATAACTTGTCATAATAACCAGCGAAATATAACAGAAATCGCGTTTGACGAGTGGGTAACCATAGCAACTGTAGGCTGCGCGATGATTTGTATCGGAAGGTACATCGATAAAACAAACTTTTTTATTGGTTTATGATTTATACATAGCAAGAGGATCACACAAAACTTTTCAAATATTTTAAATAGTTGATGTTTTGTTATAGTGGACTAAGTAATATGATTTTTTTTGCAGAATTACGTGCCCACAGTGTTTGAGAACTACACGGCGAGCTTTGAGATCGACAAGCACCGCATCGAGCTGAACATGTGGGACACATCAGGTGAGATCTGGCTTGGCATCAAAATTAAACAGATATCATGCGACCATACTACACATAATATTTCTGCAGTTTGTATACTGGTATGTAGTAAGCAAAATTGCATTCATTTATTTTTGAAAAATCGTACTTTTACCAAATGCTGCGTGCGGTATACAACAGGGCATTACTGTATCACTTAACATGAACTAGAAGTAATGTCAATGTGACTTTTAAGTTTTATCTGTTTCAGTATACTAGTATTCCAGTCCAAACATAGCCAGTGATGTACTGTGACTCAAGCATTAAGAAACGTTTGCATGGATAAACAGATAGACACAATAGCAAAAGTTCTACTGTAACAAATCCTGGTGCCTGTCTCGTCTATGCATGGACACGGTTCATTCCTGTCCCTCCTGACTACTGACCGCTCCCATGGCTTGGCTGACCCCTTGTGAATTTGTATGAGAAAGACTGAACGTGGCTTTTTTTGTTTCAGCAACATTTTCTCAAATATGTGATGTCTGAACTACAACGAGTCAGGAAGCAGAACTCTTGCTGCTTTGATTTAACAAAACACAACAGACAATGCAGGGTTTATGTATACAGAGTAGGATATGATCCTGTTATATTGCTATTGAGTTCTGGACCGTATCTGTGGGGGAGATCTATAATATAAATGGCTTTGTGTGGATTCAAGTTTCTCGTCTATAAAAAAAACCAACAAGTAAGCCAGAACTCCAGTAATATGTTCAGGGCTGTGCATGAGTGTTTGGACAGTACTGTCAGTGTGGATTTTAGCACACTTGGTGTTAAGCTACACCACTGCTGACACACACTCGTCCTGACACACACTTCAGGGCTTTCTCAGCAAGCGTGACCCATAAATCCCCCGCTCTAGGCCTCTGCATGTTTCCCCACCCTGCTATAAAAGTCCTTTATGGGAATTTCTTTTCTTGTCATCTCCATTTTTAAGTTCCTATGGGAATGTTTTCCTCTCCTGCTGTTGTTGTTGGTCTGTAGGGTTGTGCTGGGTCAGACTGTAACCCTGTCGAGAGTAAATCTTCACTTTACTGTAAGCGCTCTCATACCACAGTCTGGGACACAAGAGTGTTTCAGCGTGGACTGTGTTATAATGAAGTTCAACTGGTTTTGAACTTTATCACTGTTTATAAATGTTGTCAGTAAGCCCTCTTGACAACAGCCAGGCACCCAGCGGCTTTGTGTGCAGAAGTATATGTATATTTACATCTGTTTTATTGGCTGACACTGTCTTACCAAAGTGACCTAAAATAATTCACTCTGTAAGTTGGTGGAACAACTTGCAGACAAAATTTAAGGCAAACAGAACGTTAAATGCTAAACTGAAGCATTTCCTAATGTATGGCCACATACATTAAATGTGCTTTCTGTATCACTTGTGCCACCAAATGCATTTCAAAAACAATGGCTATATTTGGAAATGCATGGCATACTACTCTTACTATTTCTGAAGTATGTATACTGTGCAAATTTCTGCAGGAATGGAATACCCAGATGACCTTCTACATTTGAGAAAATGTGCAGTATACAACAGAACACACTGCATGAAATACTGTATCCCACAATGCAATGAACTTGACTTGACCTTCCATATCTAGCGTGATGAACGAGCCAAACATAGAATCAGCTACAAAATCTTTTTCTTGACAAATGTTAGTATGTTTTGTAGATTTTTTTTTCCTAATTAGCAACTGCTTATTGTTGCCTCTTCACATTAAGCTGGGATAAAAGGAAGCATTTTTACATAAAAATAATTAGCTTTAAGTGTTACAAAATTATGTAACCATATGAACAAATCTGTCACTAGAAGTGAGCTAAATCTGATTTAAAAAATTTAAATATTTAAAAATATATATATAATCAATTTCCTACTTATGATACTATTATTATTATTATTATATACATGAGGAATTTCACATTTGTATCCATGTGGTATCGCTCTATATCACGCAATATCACACACGTAGCCATGTGATATCGCTCTACTGTATATCAGCATGGCTGTGATTACCAACCTGCCTCGTGCCTACAGCCAAATCACAACCATGCTGATATACAGCCATATCGCATGGCTACATAAGCAAAGAGACGGGCAGTTCTACACTTATTTAACTATTTGCCATCTTACCTTATGTTTTATTCCTCTTTTAATCCATAATGGAGCGTGCAGCACCAAAGCGTCATGACTGCCACAACTTAGCGTTGCACCCACCACAACATCTCTCATTGTTTACACTCCAACTGATGCATGTAAATAAATAGACAGTGCAATTCTACATTTATTTACCTATTGGCCACCTTACCTTATGTTTTATTCCTATTCCGTCACGCCTTCCACAACATCTCCTGCCACTCGACCCGTCACCACTAGAGGCAGCTGCCACTCGGCTCAGTCACCGCTAAATGCGCCTGCCACTCGTCCCGTCACTGCTATGGCAAATAGGTAGCCTACCAATGTGCTCCATTGTCGATTAAAAGAGAGAAATAAAACATATGGTAAAGTGGGATTTAGGTAAATAGGCTAAGTGTAGAATTGCATGGTCTGTTCGCTTTACGTGCATCAACCTGCTGCGTCTGAAAGCTCTAAAATGCTACCTTCGGAAGGACACATTCCAAGGTAGGAGGCATCAAGGCACGTCTGAATCCAAAGTTAGCCTCACTTCCTGTCTCATGAGATACCTTCATCTGATCGATTTTTGAAGGCAGCTTAGATGTATCCTTCGCTGCCTTTGATATCCCACAATCCTGTGCGTTCCATTCCGTGGCCTGTAACACCTCCATGATTATTCCCAGTGCCTGTAGTTGATTTTCAGGTTCTAGTGAGTATAAATGATAAAAACAGACAAGAATCTAAAAATACAATAGTACATAAATATTTGGATCAGAAGTATAGTATATACAGTATGGATCTAAAGATCCTGAAACAGGACACACAGCAGCAGCAATATATGTTCCCAGGTTCAGGTATAAAATAGCTAAAAGAACATCTAATCATCTATAAGTTTATACAACAGAAATGGTTGCAATATTATTGGCTCTTCAGTGGGTTGAAGAGATTAATATACCTGAAGTGGTCATATGTTCAGATTATTTTTCAGCATTATCAAGTTTAATGAGTGGTAAATCTCCGACTAGACAAGACATTTAATCAGACATTTTACAAAGTTTATTCAGAATGCAAACAAAAACAGTTATCTCTTTTGTATGGAAACCTGCACATATAAGAATATAAGGAAATGAAGTGGTGGATCAAATAGTGAATAAAACATTAAAACATCCAGATATAGAGTTTAATGTTCAGATGAGTAAATTAGAGATAAAAGGTCTAATTAAAAAAGCGTTAAAAGATATGTGGCAAAGTAAATGGGATGGTGAGAATAAAGGACTACATTTATATAATATTAAAAAAATAGTTGGAAATAAGAGGAGAAATTTTGGGAATAGAAAGGAAGACAGCATAATATCTCATCTTAGAATTAGACACACTGCACTTAATCAATCATTATATATAATAGGAAAACATGAGTAAAGAAGCAATACACATTACCCAATACACGTACCTGCGCACAAACCAAAAATTTTTTTTTCTAGTAACAGGGTTACATTCTACCCCTTCTGATGGTCTGCATGCCCCCATAAGACCAACACCCCCTCAAATCAACCCCTGTCATGTTACTATTTTGAAGAAACATTTAAACATTTTCCACCCGTATGATTTTCCTCAACATCAAAAGCTTTAGAATTGATCCTAATGACCAGTCCACGATGGACTAATGTAATGGATCGATCTGTGGGTTTTCCTGGTGCATCATAACTGAGACGACTGGCGGGTTCTACCCTACTTCTCAGTCTGTATGGATGACTACTCTGATTTGCTTTATCAGACTCTTTTGAAGCAGGATAGTCTCCCCCTTCTGACTCTGACTCAGCCACGTCATCCACAACTGACTCCGAATGCTCCCCTTCTCCGTCAGGCATCACAACCAGCATCTCTTAAAGAAGCAATACACATTACCCAATACACGTACCTGCGCACAAACCAAAAAAAATGTTTTCTAGTAACAGGGTTACATTTAGCTTTTTAGTTTTCCTTTAACATCAATGCTCCACACTCCATTCTAGTAGGTGGTGGTATATGCACCTAAAGCTGGTTGCCAACCGCCATAAAAACGTCAAAGAAGAAAAAGAAAAAGTTCCATTCCGCGATGGTTGAGCTAAATAAAGATGGTGTCTGAAAGTTGCGTTTTGTGGTCAGTTTGTGTCTAAATGTATATTTCTGACTAATTTTTGCACTTTTGATGTTAGTTCTAGCGAGAAAATCAGTATTTTAGTCATTAAATATTTGTTTATTTATCACCAAAACTCATTCTATTTTGTTGTACATCATTAAACCGTTATGCTGCCTCAGAAGCCTGTCCGGAATAAGTTTCATGAGGTGCCTTCGTGCAAAAACGCTGCCTGCAAAGTCATTGCCCGATAGGGCAGCGAGGCAGCAAAGAGCAGACTGATTGCTATAAAAGGAGGGAAGAAGCGCTTCCAATCATTGTGTTCTTGTTAGCAATGGTTATCTCTAAAGAAACGTGCAGCCATCATCGCTTTGCATCAAAATGGCCTCACATGCAAGGAAATTGCTACAAAGAATATTGCACCTGAAAGAACCATTTACCGGATCATCAAGAACTTCAAGGAGAGAGGTTTGACTGCAGTGAAGAAGTCTTCAGGATGTTCCAGATTGTCCAGCAAGTGCCAGGACCGTCTTCTCCTGAGAAGTCAGCTACAGAATCGTGCCACCAGCAGTGCAGAGCTTGCTCAGGAACGGCAGCAGGTTGGCATAGAAACATAATCTACAAATACTGAATCAGCAAACTTTGCAAAACACAAAATTTATGTCACTGCCAAAACTTTTGGCCATGACTGTAGTTGTCTCTGAATTCCCTTTCAAAGAGTATTCATATGCACCATTTAGGAACTAATATGCACGT